GAGCCTTCTGCTCCATGACGTGTCACCACCATACTGAGTTGAAAAATACCATACAAATAAATGATTAGGATCTTCAAAGGAATTTCTCTGCACCGGTCTCCTTAGAGCTTCCAGATCTAACATTAGTTTGGGTATAGGTCCTGTGCTTTTAGTAGTATGGGCCCAATACTACCTTCCACACCTACCTGTACCTTCCCCAAGGCTCTACCTGATAACTCTAATTCGCCCCAGAACAAAACATATCTCACAAACTACGACATTACTCAAATCCTAGGCTATCCTAAGATTTTCTCCATTCCCATCAAACAAGAACTCAAATCAATCATAACAGGTTGCCTTATCCATGCAAATTATACACATAACAGGATCAAATAGACCGTCGAATAGCAGACTCTACCCTAGGACCACAACCAAAGAAGGAACAGGAAGCAAGGCCAAATCAATTATTCTAAGGCTATAAGATCCTAACCGTATACAATTTTTAAAGCATACACATAGAAAAATCCACACGACTATCACCTTCCAAATATAGCATGGCTAACATATTGGGGAAAACACTTACTTAAGCTCGGCCGATTACGCACATTGCACTCTCCCTTTTTCTTACAAGAAATCAGTTTTAAGAAGTTTTTAACTTGATTTTGAAAAAAACAATTTTACCATTTCCTCAGTTTGAGTTCTGACACACTCGGGAGTATGCCCTAATCCCTCAAACCAAGGCTCTGATACCAACTTGGAACAGCCCAAAATCTCAATAAAAATTTTCATTGTTAATTAGGAATTCATTTCCATAACTATAAAATTCCAATCAAAATTGTTTTCAAATTCATAACATCAGTTAAATTATTTATAAAATCAGAGTGTCCCCTAACAAAACACTAGTGAGTGCATGTCGCGCCATCACGCCAGACTCTTGACCTTAGATCCTGAAGTAGCTGAAACAACCAACAAACTGTAAGCTAATGCTTAGTGAGTTCCCCAGAGCATACCCCACATAATCATATAATCCATATCAATCACATAAGTCATGCATATAAACATATAAGGATGCTGTGGGCTCCCCCCAGGGTCCTACTCCAGGATGTCGTGGGCTCCCCCCACGGTCTTATACCTATGTGCCATGGGCTCCTCCCATGGTCTTTACCTGGAAAGCCATTGGCTCCCCGACATGGTCTGATATCCAAGTGTCATGGGCTCCCCCCATGGTCTTTACCTGGAATGCCATGGGCTCCGGACATGGTCTGATATCCAAGTGTCATGTGCTTCCCCCGTGGTCTTTCATGAAAATATCATAGAAACAACTAGCATACCACATAGCATATAACCAACTAGTATACCACATATTACTACATCAACTAGTGTACCACATATCACAAAATGGCACGGTCTTGGTGCCTTCGACCCATTAGTATGGTGAGGAGACTCACCTTAGTCTACTGAACCCGAAAGCTGCTCGCCTAACAGTCTGAAACCACCCATGCTGAACAATAATGCCATTAACCCAAAATTAGGATTAAACACAATCTAATTAAAGAGCCCAATTACCTAAGCCCAAATCCTTCCATATTGGCCCAAGAGTCTTTCCTTTGCTAATGGGCCCAAAGTCCATGTCCAAAGTTATTAATGGGCCGCTTGGCCCAATAACGCTTAACCAAAACCACCATGGCCCAGAATAGATTAATCGGCCCACTAACCCCAAAATATGACCAGGCCCAAAACTGATTAAGGCCTAAAGGGCTTAAAAGCCCACACGAAGCCCAAAACCCACTGGTGTATGTACGCCCAGCGTACCACTCCAGTACGCTCAGCGTACTAGCGCCTTAGTCAGTACGCGTTGCGTACATTCTGCTATGCACGACGTACAAGTCAGCCATGCACAATTGACCATTAAGCTCTTAATGCTTGGAATATTAACGCCAAGCTTTAGATCTGAGTCCATTAAGACGTTCTAAGACATAAAGTTGGCAACTTTATGCCCTTACATACTCCATATGTTCCCAACAACCCCTTATAACCCATTAAGACCTTTACAAGGGTCTTAACTCATGCATGAGGTCAAAACACCCATAAAGACTGCATTTTTATGGTATGAATGAACTAAGGGACCTCATATATACTGTTCCTAAGCTCTGGAGTTGCTTAAACTCCCAAGAGATGATCCATGAACACAAATGGGACAATAAAGCAAACCCTATCTTAATCTAATGAATAAGGTGGCAATATTAAAACTTTATACCTCCATAACCTCGTCAAGGTGAACTAGATGCAGGATCTTGAAGCTCAATGCCACACCAAGATTGCTCAATAACTTCTTCTTCTTCTTGAATAATTTCTAAAATGGCCACAAATACACTCTTTAAGCTCAAGAACACTCTCTCAAGGAAACTCTGGGGTAAAAGGGCGAAATGAGGCTATGGAGGCTGATTAGGATTTGGTCTAAGAGGCTTAAGGATGTTTAAATAGGTGTCAAGTCTGAGAATTTGGGTTTTGCTCTTCTATCGCGTATGCCCGCTAACCTCTAGGTACGCCCCGCGTACTTGCCACCCTCCGCAATCATTCATCCTTAGTACACTAAGCGTACTCCTAGAGTACGCCCCGCGTACTAAGGGACCATTATGCTATATTTTTCATTTCAAGGGTTCCAATGGTAATTACCTGATTTGGGAGTGTTACAGTCAATGTATTAAAATTTTATGTGCTAATAGATTCTGTAGAAGTCACATTTAAAAATATATAAAATATATGTGTCTAAATGATAACATAGACCATAGTGAAAACAAGTTATTTGGGTCGTGAAGTGAATAATGACCATAATGACAACATATGTTGTCATTTGGGTCGTGAAATGAATAATGACCATTATGACAACATATATGTATGTCTTAATGGTGGAAATTGTCATTCTTAAAAAATTCATTTAGGTTATAGGATAAACATATTTTAAAAAAAACATATGTGTATCTGTATAAAAAAATTTGGCCATGCTCTTTTTAAATCGTTCTATTTAAACTCTCACAAAACAATCCTTTTTGTAAGGAAATAATAGAAAATGACCCATTGAATAACTATTAGGGTGACCAATGGATGAACAATAATCACTATTAAAAAACACTTATGTGTCTCGAAAGACTTTATAACCAAAGTTATGGACAAAATGCGTGATTATAACATTATTTCGTTACCCATTAGCTACACTTTTATTATACGACCATACATTTCCAGTTTCTACAACCACTAAACTTCAATGTGGCCGTATGATATCTGAATTGACGGGATCTTTGGTCACACTTGCAATGAAAGATAAATGTAAGGAGAATAAGGTATTATCATGATTTTTTTGGGGCATTTCTGTTGATTTTTGTACTAGTGTAAGTGCAAGTCGACCTCCCAGAGGTGAGCACCATTACTTAGAGGTGAGCACAATTACTTATAAGAGCATAAAAATATCTTTAGATTTCATTTTATTAGTAGAATCAAATCATTCGAGCTAAAATAATATAGTAACTTCACCTCTTGATATAGCGAGAAGCTAGGGATATAGATAAATCAAAAATATTTTTTTAATGACCTATACCGACAACATGTCGCCGACATAGGTTTTCGACATACCGTCAATATTCTGCCCATTCCCGTCGAGTCTATGCAGACGATGTGTCGTCGGCATAGCTTTTCTGGTCAAAGACGTATGGTTAAAGTTGGAAAACGTTGTACCGACGACATGTGGTCGGTATAGCTTAGCTTTTGCCAACGACATATGTTATCTGGATAGGTGTCGTTTGTAAACGTTGTTCTTCTTGTAGTGTATAGCGAGGAACTAGGGTTACAATATATTTGAATATTCAGTATTACGGGTATTACACAATTTAAACTAGTTAATGACGGAACCTTAAGCAGCTCTAATCTTCATCTAGTTAGAAGCAAAAAGTTTCTCGCTAGCAAGATCTTTATTGTTCCTTGTGGTGTTGTTGAATATAATGACTACAGCAACCAAATAACCCAAACAAGGGCAATAAGAACAACCATTACACCCGCTTGAACTCATGAGCAATAACCAAGATAGCATCAGCTTTAAAAAGTTGTTGCATGAAATCAACAGCCTTTACGATGTTGATCCACCACCAGTTGAGAAACGGTCTCACCTTGACGTCGCAGAACACTCGATAAATATATGTTCCTCTGTTTTGGGCTTGCTAATACAAAAAGGGTATAAGGTGCATATAATATTAAGACCGATCCGCTCAAGATTGAAGCATGCATGTAGGGAGTCAACCAAGTCTAGTTCTCCATGCTAGAATATTTACTTTAGCACGTGCAACTCTATTCCAAATAGTGTGAATCAGGTTTTGATCTAACAAAGATTCATTAACTATCCTCGTAAGATAAGTGAAGTAACTGAATATATTCCATCATCCTCACCAACTCACGACCAGTTACCTATTTTGATAGATGAAGACATTGTTTAGGTCCACATTGTGGTCTAATATATTTCAATGAAGATAACTAATGGTGCCCCACGTCCCTCCTCTGTTAACTACATATATGTCTCGACCAATGCCTCAATCACATCTAAACCTCTCGAACCAATAGTGACTGAAAATTGTTTCACACTCAGATAGTGAGGGATTTCTTAGTTACTTATTTGTGCGGTGTGAATAGACTAACAAGGCTAGGAGTTATTTTCTACTTAATACTTTTTTAGTTCTTAAACGTCATGGATTGTATAATAAGATAGTAATCTAAAAGCCAACAAAGAAACAATTATATTACAAACCGAATGTAATGATACACCATGTCAAAGGTTTTTAAGAATGATTTAACACCTTAAACCATTCTTTGATAGTGGAAACCAAATATAATAGTCATCAAAAGGAATTGACTCAAACACACACACATTATAAATGAGAACCCTAATCGTTCAATCGGTCTTGTAAAGAAAATAACAATGCAAGAAAGAGTAGTACATACGTGGGGAACTAGAAAATCTAGTTAGCTATTATATATTAGCCCTCGCTTTCCCTAGTATGGCGAAACTCCCACATTGCCCGCACTAAGAAAAGCATCTTTCAGTCGAAGATCATCTCCTTCCTACACCTCCACAAATCAAAAAACATATATAATTTTTTCAAAATTCTATAAAAAGTAACAATGCATCAGACATGGAATGTATTATTAATGCAACATGAATCTTTGTTGGTGGCAAAGTTAGATAACCTAGGCCAAAGAACGTTAAAACAATATTTCATCAACTCGTTGCAAAACATAAATAAATACATAAAAATAACGTAAGAGTATTATAAGAGGATATAGAATAAACACAATAAATATAAGAGGATATAGAATAAACCCAATTAATATACTGTCAATTGTTGATACACTTCTCTATTTTGATCATCATCTACATGTTTATTAATATAAGTATCATCGTCATTTTTCGTTTGATTGCAAAATCCAAATAATTTGGTAAACCATATATATTAAATTTTGTTCTTTGAAACGAGAAATAAAAATGACACATTAAATTTGATAAGAAAATCGAATACAACAACCAATGTTTTCATTCACTAACAATTACTTTTCTAAATTGACTTTCAAATATCAAAAAATATTACCAATATACTAATTATTTTCTATTAATTTACAATCGATATTTTGGAAACATAACTTAAAAATAAATAAATAAAAACACTGTTGAATTAACATAATTTAACGTAAAACACATTGATAAATCATGCATACTAGAATTGAAATAATAAACGAGCTAGTAGGTATATGATGCCAATTGCCTTAGATTATATAATGCTGACAATTACCAAAATATGTTTGTCATTCAGTCATAAAATGCAATGTAATAATATTAGTCTTTTTCTTATTCAATAATTTCTCACAAATTTTATATCTTAAATTTCCCGATTGGGATTTTCATATTACCCTTTCATATAATATTTTATTTGTTCACCTCTATTTTTTTTATAATAGGCTAATTTTAAATGTCTTTTAACAAATCTAATTTTATATACAATTTTTACCGAAGTTTAAATTTTCATTATGAATTTTGTTTAAAATATTCTTACGAACATTGTTTTTATGGTTCTAAAAACTTAGTTTTTTTAATATTACTTTATTTTTCAATTTTTTCATCTTGTTTTATAACTTGTATTTTTTCTTCCTTATTTTCCATAACAAAAATCATTTTTGTTTGCTACTTTGAGCATTATATCTTCTACAACATATACTTGTTTATTTTGATCCATTATTTCAAACGAATGGTCAAGTATATGCCAATAATGGCCACTTCAAAATTTCAAGGTAAATGTACTCAAACAAACATGAAAGACGGTAGTGATACGATACACTAGCGTATATTCACAAATATAAATTATTCAATATGAGCTATTAAAATACGAGGGGATTCGCAATCACAATGAATGTAGGATGTAATTTAAAATGAAAGAGTGTAGGAACGGAAAATTTGGATGGCTTGTATGGCTATTTAGCAACAGATTCTTAATGACATACTTCTAATGTTGACCGGGAAGGATACAACTAGAGATGCATGTAAAACGTTTTAAGATGATTCATATGAGACCCGGTCGAGTAAATGAGACTAGAATTAAACTTTGAGTAGCGACATTGAGGTGATTCGAATGACAATGAAGCGATAAATGATTTTTCCACGAGATTGAATTCCATTTTCATTGGTGTTGGATCTCTAAGATCATGGAAATTATGGCCCTGCAGTACTTTCTTTCAGTCGTCCCGTTAAGATTAAAAAAATCTTGAAATTTATCAAGCAATTTGGAGGCTTGAAAATATGATGGTAGATGAGGTTGTGGGTCTTCTTACAACCCATGATGAAATGCTTTGAGGTTTCATAAAAAAATAAGTAGGACCTTCTCTATTAACAGATCTTGAGTGGGAATCTCGATCGAAAGAATGACGGGGTAAGCTCTTCAAACACATCATAGGGAAGAGATGGGACATGTAAGTAGAGGTTGGGGACGAGTCCAAGGTTCTAAGCATGGCCAAAGAGGTGATTGTAGATCAATTAAAAATTCGAATGATTTGCAACCTTCCTCAAAAGAATAAAAGTAAAATAAAATTTTTTAATCGTAAAAAATTTGGTCATTATGTGTTGGACTTATTGAATAAGAACCAAGGTAAGGAGGCAAAATCACTTAAGCCAATGAAGAAGTACCTATTTTAATGATGGAATCTCACCATGATTTGAGATAGTCTTCTTGCAGTGGGAGATAGTCGATTTGAATATAAGGTATGGTATCTACACAACGGTGCTAGTAACCATACGACTAGAGAGGACTCAAAGTTCCATTACTTAGATGCAAACGTTATAAGCCATGTGAGATTTGACAATGGTACAACATTCACTATTTTGGGGAAAGGGCATTTTTTATTCTAAAAAATATTACCAACAACTCGTTAATGAAGTATATTATATTTCAAGTTTTAAATTAAAAAAAATATATTATTTGTCTTGGACAAATGACGTAGAAGGGAGGTTGGTCATAATGTAGGTTTCATATTTGACATATTATTAGGGAAACAAAAACTTTACTTTTGAGAGTTAAAAGGTCAATAACTGGTTAGACAAAACCCCTCTGAGGCCTAGTGGACCGAGAAATCTTTTACCAACAAAAGACAAACGACTTGGATATAACATTCTAGACATAGCTATATTAACTTTCCTTCCTTAAAGAAGTTGTCTAAATGAATATGACAACCGGTGTCTCAAGGACTAAACACCCAAACCAAGTGTGTGAAGGGTGTGCTCTTGGCCTCTTGCCAAACAAACTCAAATTCCTTGTCCAAATAAAATGGTTTACTAGATAAAAAAAACTCTATAAGTTTTTCATGCAATATTTATATGGTCTGATTACACCAAGCTTTGTTGGAGGAAGCATGTAATTTCTCCTCTGGGTATACGATTTTAGTCGGTGGATGTGGTTTTATATATTATATGAGAAGTTTGAAACCTTAGGTTCTATTAAACTATTAAAGTTAATAAATTGAAAAGGTTCAGGTTATATTTTAATGAAACATCCAAATGATAGAGGGGGAGAGTTCACCTCAAAAATAATTCTCATTGGTTTTTGAAGAAAATTGTGTAAAAGAGGATCTTACAACAACATATTCGCCACAACAAAATGGAGTTGTTGATAGGTGAAATCGAACTGTTATAGACACATCAACAAGTCTTTTTAAAGGAAGAGATGTATCAGTGGAGTTCTGGAGAGAATCTACTAGACATATATTTTTTTTATTCTCAACTGGCTACGAACAAATGCACTTCTCGACATCACAATGTATGAAGCTTATTTAGGCAAAAACCAAACCTGAAACGTCTAAAAGTAATATGTTGTATTCTTTTCGTTAATAATGCATGTAATCAAATAAAGAAGCTTGATGCTTTAATAATAAAGATGGTGTATTTGGTTTTGGCATATGGAACTAAAGATAAGTTTTATTTGATCTGCAAGATCAGAAGTTATAAGTTAGTTACAAGATTGATTTTGCTGAAAAAGAAAGTTGGAATTCATACAAAAACAAGGAAGAAAAGATGAAGACTCATTAAAATATTACTATAACCGAATAACTGTCCAAATATATCCCAAAAAACACAACAAACAACCCCCAAGATCTACCCAGAACAACCGGACAACCCAATAAATGATGCTGTCAAAACCGAACGACCCTATGTCAATTCTATCCAGCCCCGTTTTCATTACCCTCAACCTACAAGGAAATCCCTACATCATATGTTGGGCTTAAGGAGTTCGATATATAATCAATATGTATATCAAAGCCAAAAGTATGATACTTAAGCCAAAGAATTAATAATGATTGCATCAGATTAGCTCTTGAATAGTAAAAAAAGGCATAAACCTCTAAAGCATGGAAGGAGGCCATGCAAACGAATTTAGATTTAATCACGAAAAACACAAAAGGTTCAAACTTACAGATTTTCCAATCGTTAATTAAGCAATCAACTTAAATTGATTTTTAAAGTAAGGAAACAAAAATTATGAATAGTAGTAATGCATAAAGTTCAAATCTTTGCAAAAGGATTTTCATATAAGCAAGGAATCGAATGTGATGATGTTTTTGAGCAAGTAACACTACCTAACACAGTGACATTCATTCTTACTTTAACGAGTTAGTGTAGGTTATCCACCATATTAATGTCAAGTCGACTTTTCTCTATCGAGATCTCAAGCAGGAGGTCTACGTTACCCAACCATAAGGATATGTTTATAAAGTACATCGCCATAAGGTATTACAACTCTTTCTACGACAAGATCCTTGAGCTTGGAACAATTACTTGGATAAAATCTTAAAAGGGATTAGTTTTTTGAAAAATATACAAGACTCGACCGATATACAAAAGGAACCCAAATAGCATGTTGTTGGTGTCTATGTTGACAACTTAATAAGTATCGGGTTGAACACCAAAGACGTCGAACTCAAGAAACAAATGATTTTTCTTAAAATGATTGACATGGGTTCACATTCTTACTACCCTAGAACAAAAGTGTTGCAAAATATTTATGAAATTTATTTACGAAAACAACATAGGAAAAGAAGATTTTGGTGAACTTTGTGGTATTTAACTCACACTCGACCAGACTTAAGAACATGGTGAAAAAGTTAACCTAACTTAATATAGGAGAGAGTGCTAGGTTGTTTGAGGTATTTAACTCACCCGACTAAACTTGTCATTTACGGTTGGAACTTCAAGTCATTTCATGGAAAAACCAATTGTGTTGCATTTCCAAATAGTAAATCATATCTTATAGTATGTAAAATGAACTATTAAGTATGGACTCAATAGGTGACTTGACTTTTTTTTCCAAAGAAAAGCGGTTATGTAATGCCCCGTTTATTAAATAAATAAATAAACAAATTAATGAATGAATAGTACCACTAAAATCAATAATTATATAGCAAGGTGTTGGTTTCGTGGAGTTAAATGTCATAATTTAGAAGTTGGTGGTTAAAAGTGTAAGTTCTGGATTGGTTTTGTAAATATTTTATGAAGGCAGGGACTACTTGGTAAATTATTGGGACTTAATTTGAAGATATTTTGGAGACTTGGGGGCTGAATGGTAACATATGGACTTCATTTGAAAACAAATTTGTAGAGGAGGGGCTATTTGGTAACTGTTGGACCTAATATGAGAAGAATTATGGGAGTCGAGGTTTAAAGGGTAAATATTGGAGTGAAATCGAAATGATTTTAGAAGGGAGGGACCATTGTTGTCATTATGGGAATAAGTTTGATAGGGCACTGGGTATTTAACTGTTCCATAGCCTCCTCAAAGCTTAACCCTAATATTCTATGCAACCGCCACCCTCACTTCACCCATCACTGGCGCCGCTACCCCCTTTTCCCGTCAAGTCGCAAACCAACTCGGTTGGGGTCCCAAACCACCGGAGCCAACCATCTCGTGTCCACCCTAACGCCGGGAAGATCAACTTATGTGTGTTGCTGCCACCGCTGTGCCCAATCATTGAAGGCGAAGCCGCCGCTAAGACCGGTGGATTTCCTTGTTGTTGTTCGTTGTGGCCTAGGCCGACTGCCCTAGTACCTTTCCAACTCGTAGATGATGTCGCTATCCCCATTTCTTGCGGCTGTTTCCCTTCCGGCGAGATTAAGTGCCCACCGGGAGTATCCGCTGCCACTACATCTCTTTCTCTTCTTTCGTTTCTGCCTCCACCATCTTCTGCCGTTGCTAGTCGTTGTTGCTGCCCGTTCTCATGTTGCTACGTTCCAGCCATGACCGCCGCCGTCAACCGCCGTTGTTGTTGCTTGTGTTGCTGCTGAAGTCGCCAACCACCACTAGGTGGGTGGCTGGGTCCATTTCGCAAGCCAAAAAGCGTGTGTGTGTGTGTTCTGTTTGGTCAGAAAACCAAGACAGCCACCACCACCACCGTGAGGTGGTTGCTGCCACCATGTATCACCGTCGGCCACCTTACGGGTGGTTTTGTGTGTGCTTATCTTAGTGTGTGTGTGTGTGTGTTATTTAGGATTCTGCATTGTAAATTGTAATCTGTGTCAGAATAACAAAAAAGAAACTCATAACCACCACCATGAGGTGGTGGCTGCCGCCTCCTGCCGCCACCAGCCGCCGCGTTGGGTGGTGGTGTGCTTTTGCTTGTGTTTGGATTGCTTTTGGGAGGCTTGGACATATTTAGACTAGAACCATGGCTGCCGTTGTGAGCCGCAGTTGACCACCACTACCCGAGGTGGTAAAGAGTGGTGCCCGACTTGTTTAACCCTAATGGGCCCAATGAAACCCTAATTGACCTAAAAGCATAACTATTTGACTAATGGGCTAGTATTTGGGTTGGAAACCCTAATTAGGGTTTGGAAAATCCTAATGTCATGAAACCCTAAATTTGGGGATTAATCGGGACCCGCACTGGAATTAATTAATAAACTTAAAATATTAATTAATACTCATTTGCAAATTAACCTAAGACAATATTGGACTTAATGGATTAAGTCCTTAATGGATTAAGTAGGAACACTTAACCCTAATCATCATTTCATGTGAAAACCCTAATTTCACTTGGGCCTTGAGTTGGGCCTTTCTTTTGGGCTTTGGTGATTGGGTTATTGATGGGCCGTCCAAGAACAAGTAAATGGACTAAAATATTTGGATGGGCTTTAGGGTAAGGCCCATGTGAGGGTTTGGGCCCAATTTGGAAAATTGGGCCGTAGATGGGCCATAACTGGGCCTTGACGATTAGGAGAGGTTGGACCAATTGAAATGCTAAATGTTTGCACTGGACTAAAAGGTTGGGCCTTAGGGTAAGACCATGTAAAGGTTGGGCAGAATTTGGAAAATTAGGCTATATGTTGGGCTTTGGCCCATTACTTGACTATTGGGCCTTTGGGGTGTGAGTTGGACCTTGGGCTTGCAACCCAATTATTAATTAGGTATTGTTTGATGTTGACAGTTCGGGAATCTGTCATCCAGCAGCTGGAGTTTTATCCGCGGGACTTCAGCAGTGTGAGGTGAGTTCTCCTCACAATATCAACAGGGTCTAAGGCAACAATGCCGGCCCTTATCAGATTTGTATCCAGGTTTATTGCATGATATGCTTATTGATTTACATCCTGGTAGTTAGGATGGTGATGTGCTTAGTGACCTGGTAGGTCGGTATCCTGGTTTATAGGATGGTTGCTATGTTAGAGATCTGTTATATCGGTATCCTGGTTATTGGATGGTTGTTATGTTATTGATCGGTTAGATGGTATCCTGATTATAGGATGGTTGCCATGTTAGAGATCTGTTAGATCTGTATGACAATCTGTACTTGCATGCTAGCTTATGATATTTATGTGCACATGTTTGTTGGTTTGGGGGATTGGGTTGAGGCAGGTCCTGCTTTATGCTGTAGACCAAGATACACAAGGCAGACCAGATAGACTGCAGACTCGGTTAGGGCATACTAGTCAGGCCGAAGGCCCGACGAGCGGTCCGGATAGGCTGAAGGCCCTGAGAGGCGGTCTAGACGTGCCGAAGGCGCGGAGAGCGGTCCAGATAGACTGATGACATGTGAGGCGGTCCAGTCAGACTGATGGCTCATTATGCATGCTGTGTTTGATTATATTATATAATTATGTTTGTATGACGTTGGTATTTCGGGGGTAACTCACTAAGCCTTCGAGCTTACATTTATCGATTATTGTTTCAGGTTCTTCTGATGATCGCGGGAAGGCGAAAGCGTGATCGTGCACCTCCTTATATTTTCATGATTTGATTATGGGGATACTCTGATGTTTAAACTATTTTGAAAAGAAATTGTAATAACTTAATGGTTTTAAATATTCTAAAAAGTTTTAAATTGTCTTGAATTTTATCGGTGTTACAGGTTACATGTAAATTTCAAAAGCAAAAGACAATTTCTTTATCCACATGTGAAGCCAAGTTTATGGTAGACACGAAGGTTGCATGTCAATTCATTTGACTTATGAATCTTGTGAAGGAGTGTACGAGACATCATATCATGCCTATCACTTTGTAAGTCGATAACAAGTCGAAATTTGACTTCATGAAAAATCGCATGTTTAATGGTCGAAGCTAACACATTGTCATTCATTTTTACGAGGCAATGTTGATCGTTATTATATTATTGTAGAATATGTAATTCGAAAGATCAACGAGTGTACATCATTACAAAGGCTTGTGATTTTTATACATTAGGAAAGATGAATAATCCTTCTCTTTCTCCTTCCTATACCACTTTTTGGCCGACTTTTGTTTCTCTCTCCAAAATGGATGAGTCGTCCATCCTTCCTCTCTCCATTTGTCTCTTCATAAAGAATGAGTCATCCATCTCTCCCCTTCTCCTTAATTTCCATACCTCTTTCACGATGAGGATATGAGGGTATGGGTTAAGAGACGGCTTTTCTTTTTTGTCCACTTTTACGTTAAATAAGGAGATGATCCACTTCCTCATATTATTTTCTTATGTAAGGTGGTTTATTACCTTTAGTACTTTTGTAATAAAATATTAGAAATACTTAGGCTATTTAAGTAGAGTTATTACTTTGTATCCACTTGATATTGTAACCTTTGCTTTTCAATATTAGATTAAAATTAAGCTTTGGCTTCATTATTGTTTCGTCTACTTATCATAACAAAAATTAGTTTTAATTACTAATTACTAATTTGAGCATTAAATGTTGTGCAACTTACACTTGTTTATATCTTGATCCTTTATTTCCTACAACTTTCACATATAATTTGGTTACGGTTTCCAATGAACCAAAACTCAGTTCACCAAATTCATATGATAGCTACATATCATAAACTTGAATTTTGACGTTTTCCATAAATCCATGAAAAGTAAGAAACGCAATGTCCCTTCTCGCAAATTAACATAGTTGACATTTCAATCTTGATAAAACACAATTTTCATATGCAAGCTTATTACTATTGATTATATACTTTAACCGACCTTTATTTAGAAAAAAAAATAGAGTAAATGAGTGTACCTGTTGGCAGGCAGTTGATTTCTTTAGAGGCTGATCATCAGGCATAAGACCAAAGTGGATGTGAGGAAAATGTGCCCACTAAAACAATAAATTAGAACAATTAAATGACAAATCGCAAACCTAAAAACACATGCTATCAAAATTGATTAAAGTTGTTTACTTTTACACACATTAATTATATACATATGCTCTAAAACATTAATGCAATCATTAAATAGAAATATAATAACGAGAGACATATGTTCTTGGATCTTACATTCTTTGCAGCTGCACTGAAGGCTTCCCTGTGGCTTATATCTGGGTTACCTGCTTTGATACGTTGGATCTCCTCCCTGCAATATTTATTTTTAGTTTTCCAAGAGAATTAGTATGTAATTTTGTTTTTTTATTTGTCAAATAGAAATCTTTTCTGTTAAAATAATCATCAAGGTAGGATTTAGAGACCATATATTTTCCATATTTGGGAATGTTATAAAAGCTAAGTTGTTTATATTTCTATTAATTTGAAGGGAAACTTTATTAGAATGCTAAATTCTATTGATCATGTATAACAATCTAAAAACCACTCTACTTTAGTCGTTCAAGGACGGATGAGTCACAAATATTATTTAATTAAAAGAATTATGATTATTTTAATTAAAATGGTTTCCGTTTACTAGAAATATGCATACCTAGAAAAATATAAACAAATTTTGTTGAGATTATTTCACGTAGATACAAAGTCATTGTGTTTTTAAGAATTTTCGACCTAAATTACTTTTAAAAACTATTTTATCACTCAACAAAATTAATCGACATATATACATACTTGATGAATCTGTTGTAAGCAGAAGGAACTCTCTGGCGCTTCTCTGGAGCTGCAAATACATGAAGACAAATATAACGACAAAATAAACAGACACAATATTAAAATCATTTGGTTTCAGACTGTTTTGTGTTGTCTCTCTCCTATCATAACTTCATCATTATCTCTCTATATATCAAGAAACTGTGACCATCTTAAATTCCGGGGGAGAGATAATTTCTAATTCCATCCACATGTAAACACAAAAGCAAGAAAGTATAGGTCTATAAAAGCTGCAAAACATTTATTTATCATGCATTTAAATTTGAATATTTAACCCAATATTTCCAATTTTTTCCCCATGGAATGGGCTCTTTGTCAAAGACGTAAATAGTTAATTTATGAAGAAAGTATTTAAGATAATAAATCAGACTTTCTGTGTAATTACGGTTGTAAATGAAGATTAAGTGTGATCTTTGAAGTATTCTGTAACAAAAAATAACTTTCTTGTTCCACTTCTATATAGGTCAATTGGAGAATTTTCTTTAACGAACAATACAACTTTTTTCTACAAAATTTGAAGACTGGCTTACAAATAAACAGCCACGTACTAAAAGATACAGAGAGATAAGATTTATAAAAAAATATTAGGGTTTCATTGTTGTTTTTGGACCTTGTTGAGTTATAATGTTATCTATCCGTATAGTTTCAGAAAAAAGTTGCCTTTTTGGTGGTAAGAGATGGACATATTGAGAAATAAAGAAAAGAAGAGTGAAGGCCACGAAATAAAAGCTAAAGAAAGAGAGTTCTCCCACATACCAAATCCAATAAATGCTCAAGACACCATTTAGATGTAAGCTTTTGAAAGTACAATCAATGGACTATTTTAATAACTTTCTTGATTTACTGAGAAACTAACGGATTTCTGCATTTTATGCTTAAAACAAAAGAAAACAAAAGAATCTTTAACCTTCTTTTATATTACATCTAGATTCAAAAAGCAATGGGTTGATAAAGAAGAAGAAAATGACAAAAGAAATCTTACGCCTATTCACTACAGGAGGCTTGAGTAGCTCATCAACTCGAACTGGACCTATAGACTCTGAAATTGACTGATTCATCAATAGGTTAGAAGGGGTGTTCCTCATCTCCTCCTGTAAAAAATTTATTGAGTTAAACGAAGTAAATATACATTTTAAAATACCAGGTCGATATGAGATGCAAAACATGTGAAATTTTCTAGAAACCCTAATTTCTGTAGTATATATAAATTGAGTCTTTCCCGAAATAACATTATGAAGCCCTAATGGCAGACACCTTAACAGTATCAGCATCTAGACATGCCGTGATGTATGTATATATCAAGACCAACAAATTTTTATGTATCTATATATATAGAGAGAGAGAAAGATAGAGAGAGAGAATTAGGTCATCTGCTACAGGCTCAAGAAGGAATTGAAAAACACAATGGGGACTACATGTGTATTCTTTATAAAATATTTTCACTAGCTAGTTTATATCACTGTTTGAGGAGAGTAATGATCAGCTAATTAGGTACACGTTTATTTATTTATTTATTTATTTTTTTGTAATCTTTCAGGACGTATATACACTTTCGCGATCTGTACTGTTTATAAGTAGTTAGCAAATTAATTAGGTTGTACCATAATGTTTTGATGAGAGAAGAAGTTATGGCCAAAATGGAGCTGATTCGCAGAGGCAGCAGCTGGAAGAAGATGGGCACGCATGTTAACAGACAAAAGATTGGTGCAGTGCCCACATCGAACAGTAACAGTTGTGAACAAACTGCTGCAAGGAACACTCACCTACAACAGCAGCAACATACAGACCATAATTTGATTAAGTTTTGTAACAAAATTCAAACTACCTTTAAAGATCATGAAAATTTAAAATAAGAGATGGATGGAGAATCATGCATATGATGATTATGTATACCGCAAGAACGGTTTCACAAAAATTGCACTGGACATAGCAGAGCTGCTCGGGGGTTGGTGAGAGGTGGTGGTGGTGGTGGTCCGGTAGGAACGATGCCGAAGATGACATGTTTGTTTACTCTTTCTTCTTTCTTTCTCTCTCCTCTTGTTTTGATTGTTTCTCAGAGTTTGAGGTGATTGATTGATATGATGGACTGAACAATGTATATGGATAGATTATGTTTGGGGATCTGGCCTTGAATTTGTGTGTGCGACTTCAAGGACAAGTGCGAAGGAAGTTACAATGGAGAATGTAAAAGACAAGAGATATAAAAAGAGAGACCCACTACATCATATATCACTCGTGTTAATCAAACCCCAAGGTTCTCTCTTTCATTTCATTTCTTTCTAATGTTACTTTAATAATGGCCCATCAATGTTCACTAACCCCATTTTTTTTTATCGTCAAAAATATTATATGTACATTTTTTTTTCTAACTCTTTTATATTTAGGAGAGCTATATTAGATAACATATATATTGGAGCTATAGAAAAACGTACCAAAGAAATTACCCACAAAAACTAAGTTAATTGTTAGTCTATATGTTTGGAAGCCAATATATTTAGTTGCTAGTGTAGTACTAATTCTATAATCTCGGTACGATAATGGTATAAAATTTCAAATACCATCAATGTATAGTAGCAACCAACTTTTATTTATATATATATATATATATATATATATATATATATATATATATATAGATGATGGTTCATTTGGGATTACAAAAAAATTAGAGATCTTGAGATTCAACCTCAACCAAATATTGCTCATTTACCGCTCTAACGTTCCACTGTACCGTCGGCAACGGGGTATACCTAATCATAAACGATTATATGACAGAGAAGTCTAATCATATATGATTATACATGTTTATACGTATATGCCTAATCATAAATGATTATACATATATGTTTGTTCACAGATTTAGTAATCATATATTATTATGACAGTTGATGGAAGAAAATGTGGTGGTGACAGAGGTAGCGGTGATATAATTGGCGGAGGTGAGAGTGGTGGGTTTGGCAGGTGGCAGAGGTGGTGGTAGTGGTGGTGGCGGTGACAGTTGTGGTGGTGGGGATGGTGGCGGAGGAAAAAGGAACGGACGTCGCTATATAATCATTTATGATTATAACTGACCCGCCACGTCGGTACGCCGAAGGGTTAAAGCGACAAATGTGAAATATGTGGCTAAGGTTCAATCTCAAGATCACTATTTTATTTTGAATCTCAACGGAACCTATATATATATATATATATATATATATATATATATATATATATATATATATATATATATATATATATATATATATATATATATATATATTGTGACAACCGTCAAATTCTAGTCAAAGTCAAACCGGTCGAATTTAATTAGTGCCTGTATGTTAGAAGTTATTCTATGAATAAAATATGTGCATTTGTATGTCAAAAATTCAAGTGTCTCGAAAAATCTATGTGTTAACAGTGTAAAAACCCTAAAAAGGGAGTTAAACGCATCAAAACACGACTAAGGACCCTTTCAGGGACTTAAAACAATCATAAACGAAACATAACGGGGTTCACAAACCTTGCATTACGAGATTATACGATAATAATGGCTAAGATTAAATCTCTCCCAAATCTCTCAAAAGTATGTGAAATCTCTCCCAAATCTCTCTAAGTATGTGAAATTTCTCCAAGTATAGGAAATCTCTCCCAAATCTCTCTAAGTATGTGAAATCTCTCCAAGTATGTGAAATCTCTCCCAAATCTCTCCAAGTATGCCAAATCTCTCCCAAATCTCTCTAAGTATGTGAAATCTCTCCAAGTTTGTGAAATCTCTCCCAAATCTCTCCAAGTATGTGAAATCTCTCCCAAATCTCTCTCAAAACCTCTTTTGATCTTTTTGTAATCATTTGGAGCATCCCGACACTTGACTTGGTGAAAAACCATGCGAAACGGGAAGATACCTTGGAAAATAGCCTTTTAGGGCCGAAGTCCCTCTATAGGGACCAAACCCTACTTGAACCGGAGTCCCCTTGTGTAGCCGCAACCATCTAGCTGCAACCAGCTAGCCGCAGCCAGCGAGCCGCAGCCTCCGAACCGCAGCCAGAGAACCGCAGCCAGCGAGCCGCAGCCTCCGAACCGCAGTCCGTTTCCCCTTCGGATTTCCCATTTTCCACCCGATTTTCGACCACGACTTCGTTTTAAGCCCCTTTTTCATGATTTTAACATGGGATTTTCACCAAAATCCATATTTTATCATTTTTAACCCCCAGGACTCTTATTATATTTATTTCTCAAGGATTTATTAATTAAAAATCATTAGTTTATATTGAGAAGATATTTACCCCACAAGTGGGTCAAGTGTGCCCACTTGCCTTCCATGTGTCATCCTCTCAATACTCCAACCCTATCCACATCACACAAACCAAGGTAAACATCCTTTCAATCTTGCAAATTGCTCCAGCAACATTTTTATATAAAGAAATCCCTGGAGGATTTCTTGGTTCACTTTGATAAATCCTTCACTTACACACTTCTCATATTACCTCAAGAAAGCTTCTTTCCCTCTACTTTCCACCATCTTGTGCAATTGTTCTTGAGTTGCTACAGCACTTTTTGGTAAGTATTCCATCTAAACTCAAGTGTCATTCCATAATTTCATAACACTCTTGGATCATTGACTCATATCTTAACACCAAAAATCGTTCTTAGGATCATCCGAACTCTCACGTGTTCATCAAGTGTTCTTGACTTGATACTCCTCGTCTTCGACCTTCCACTCTTCCAAGAATCACTCAAGGTGAGTTCATACCCCTACATTTTCTAGTTTTCTTCAGTTTTCAGGGGGGGAATACAAGTTAAAACACCAAAACATATTCAAAACTCGACTTGACAGCTTACAACAGAAACGTTGTGACCTGTTCACGAACTGTTTTAACCAACATAAACTTAATATTTTTCAAAACTGTATAATATGAAAGTAGTTCAGGTTTATACCTTTAAAATGACTACTTGCACATCTCCATACGATTTTCTACAATTTATGGTGATTTTTACAAAACTGCCTATCACTGCAGCAACGAAATCAGACCAGGTTGTGAAAATGAACATTTTCACACTAGTTTGAGACCACCAAAAATTATGGGAAAATTTATGAGCACAGTAGACACGTTTTACAAATACTCAGAGTTTGCGGATTCAGTTTTCGACTTACGATGATTTTTCTATAATTACTCAAAAACAGTGACAGTTAAGGGTAAAACTGTCAAATACATATTTAAGAGTTATTCACACCTTGTAACATGTTGAGCAAGGTGTGTAAGATTTACACTTAGTATTTCCAATGTCCTTTATTTGAAATACATATACATGCGTAACCAGGTTTCTAATACCATCATACAACACTTTTGATAAACTATAATAGGTATAGTTTTGAACACTACATCTGACAAAGAAAACAATAACATTATCGATTTACAAAACGAACTTTCACTACACACTACGTGAACTCGTTAATGAAAATTTGTGAGACATTCTCCTTCGGGGTACTCCAAGTACCACAGAAAAGTCCTTTAGTTATAATCAGAATCTCTTGGAGTGAGAACGTGATAGTTGTGTATAGATCTATACTGGGTCCGACAAACCCGCACCTGAGCTGCTTGCAACAGCTAGACCGGCAGGTCTGTGGTGACAAGTGTCATAACTTTCCGACGCCTGAAGAACGTCGCATTCAAGGCCATCTAGTCTTTAGTATGATTATAACATCTCGCATGGAATATTAACACAGCATAAAATTCACGGAAATTCTAGGGCTTTATACAAAGGAGTTTTATTTAAATATAAAACACACACATAAGTATGACGATTTACTTACACATACTAGGCCTTGTTTCAATTCAGTTTACAACAAATCTTTTAGAAAATATTGGATTTTCTGGAAACAAACTTGTAACAAACGTTAAGGAAACAACATTCATTTTTATAAAATACTTATGAACTCACCAGCTTTATGCTGATACTCTCCTTTCAAAACAACTTGTATTCTCAGGTAATCAGTAATACAGGTAACCGCAAGATTTCTGAAGTCAAGACGCTAAGGCGTAGATTATTTTGCTACATTTTATCATCATATGTAATTTAATTGAAAACATGAATTTTTTGGAACATGTATTTTGGAAAAAATGTAATCTTTTAAAATTATATCTATGATGGTTGTGTGTTACTTTCTTCACTATGGTTATGATACTGAGCATGACGTCATCCGCCCTCGAACGTTTCCGCCGTTCTGGTTTGGGGGTGTGACAGATTGGTATCAGAGCTTTGTTTATAGTGAACTAAGTATATCGAACCACGTAAGATATACAAACTATAAATACAACGGGACAAAATTCTCTGACGTAGCTTTTCAAAAAAAAAATGCTTTAAAATAAAAATTTATATTTTTATAAAAGTATTCGCACAATCGCACATACTAATTCAGTATCATAATGGCAATAACATAAAAGTATCAAGACCAGTTGAACGCCATGATTCTGCTTCGGGGTATGTAGTCAGATCTTGGATGAATATAGCCTGATCAACTATATTCAGCCAAGGTAGGACCAATGTATGCCGAAGAAGGATCATGGTGAGCAACAAGTCTGCAGCTTACCAAAAATTTCAAGAATCAAACTTAAAAATACTATAGGAGTATTTTAACACAAAAAGCCGTAGTCACAACTTCGACAACTAACTTCTTGTTCCCAAAGTTTTTTTCGCGACATTCCTCCTTATCCCCATTCTCGTACAGGTACGATGGCAGGATTCCACTTACCAGGTGACCCCTACTTTCCCAACCAAGGGAATGCCGGCTGGATCGTGGAAGATCCCGAAGAAGAACCCATGGAAGATGAGGAGCCCATGGAAGAAGAAGAATCAGTAGACAGTGAAGAAGAAGAGGAAGAAGAAGAAGACTCAGATGGAACCGATTCGGAACCCGAAGTTTACAATCCACACCCTGCCCCCATTCCTCCACAACACTACTAGGGCCCGACGCCCCAATGGGCCGAAACTATACATCGATGGAGCCGAGAGCAAGGTCAACGACCTCCCTATGGCATGCAACGAGGTTTCTACGATCTCAGCAGATGAGGGTCAGCCGACCGAGCCCTCCCTGTCATAGTTCACCGTGTCACACGCCACGAAGAGCAAACAAGAGTTAACACCCGACATCTCATGGAGGTTGGTGCCACCAGCCAAGTCAATTCCATTCGTATCCGCCGGTTGGATGATGAACACGATCGGACTCGAGACCGCACCGAACTTCTTCGATGGGAAATGGCTGCGACCCGAG